TGCAGTTAGCATAGGTTCAGTTCCATTTCAGATAGCTCCTCTTTCCAGCTTACACTTCTCGATATCTGTAGGCCCCTTCCTGTGTAGTCGGTGTTACCTTCAGGGATTTTAATCTGTTGCACCAGTCCTTTCTGAAGCGGTTCCCTTTGTTTATTTGGCTTCTGTTTGCCGTCTCTTTGGTGTCTAATTTCCGCCCTGACACAGGCGGGCGGAGGTGATCTCTTATTTAGGTTCTCTAGTTCAGTTTAGTCCTGCTACGGGGAGGGCGGGGCGCTGCAGACAGATACCCCTCTGTGTGGATAGCACTCACCGTGTTCCGGTCACACTGGGTTTGCCCCACTCACGGGTGTCAGTGCTTTCGCCGTCTACACTGCTCAGGCTCCCGGCTGCTCTATATGGAGCGGGCCCTGCGTTGAGTGCGGTTCCAGTTTTCAGGTACGCCACAAAAGCGCAGATTCGGTTGCGCCTGCGTTTTGTGCCTTCCCCGGCCTGAGCGGCCCAGGCAGCCAGAGGCTTGGGCGCACTCTCCCAGATGCGGCGCGCCTTGTCCCTCCGCGGTGAGCGGCTCAGGCAGCCAGAGGCTTGGGCGTACTCTCGCTGGGTGCAGCGCGCCTTTTCCCGCCGCGGCGGGCAGCTCAGGCAGCCAGAGGCTTGGGCGCACTCTCCCCGGGTACGGCGCGCCTTTTCCCTCCGCGGCCCCAGCGCGCACCGCCAGTCGGGTCTCAGAAGTCTTTAGATAGGAACCGGGGGCCTGTTTGCAGTGTGGGAGGGGGTGGCTTCTGTGGGGCTGAGTTTGCCCTTTTCCCCTCCGCCCTGCCTCCAACCTCCAGCGGGGATGGGCCGGCTCTTCTCTGGACTTTCTCAGTCCCTTTGTTTTGCCAACCGCCGGCAGTGTGTTCGGGCCTGTTAATTTTGACCCTTGCTATCCCACAGTTTAAAAAAGCTCCCTCGGATTGCTCTCAGGGTCTTCGGGCCGGTCCTTACCCTAAGCAATGCCGCCCGCTCCTCTCCGTCCCGCCCCCGCTTGTTGCTGGCGGGTACGGGCGTCTGGGGTACTTTTCTGCTGGGAGTTGCTTTTAGGCACGTAATCTGTGGGCCTTGTTGAATTTTTCCTCCCAGTTAGATTGCCGAAAACTTCCCCCAGTCCCGCCAGTGCGAGGGTTTCCTGGTGATTGGAAACTTCCTCTATTAAGACTCCCTTCCCGGGACGGGTCTCCGTCCGTAGCTCTCCTGAGTCCCTTTTTATCTTTTATATTTTGTCCTACCTCCCTTCGAAGACAGTGGGCTGCTTTTCTGGGCGCCTGATGTCCTCTGCTAGCGATCAGAAGTTGTTTTGTGAAATTTGCTCAGCATTCAAATGTTCTTTCGATGAATTTGTAGGAGAGAAAGTGGTCTCCCCGTCCTATTCCTCCGCCATCTTGGCTCCTTCCAACAGGATTTTTCTGTAGAAAATAGTCAACCAAAAATACTGTAGAGCTTACAGCTGAGTTTAATGAGAATGCATGATACATAATGAATATATGAAAAGAACATTTTTGCATACTAGTAAAATTAGAAAATAAAAGCTTAAAAATGCTGTTTATAATAGTGTGGAAGACGTCTACACTGAAAACTTTATATATAAACATTGCTGAGAGAAACTAAATACCTAAATAAAAGGTGAGATTAAACCATGTTCATAGATTGGAAGACTCAGTAGTGTTAATCTGAGCATTCTTCCTAAATGACAGTCGCAATCAAACCTCCAGTAAGTTTTAATAGAAATTAATCAGCTGATTTGAAAATGTAGGTAGAAATTCAAAGAACATGAAGTAGTCAAAACAGTCTTGAAAAAAAGGACAAAGTTGAATGTATTACCTGATTTCAAGACTTACTATAGAGCTATAGTTATCAGGCAATATTGAGATAAACAGATCCATGGAATAGGGTAGAATTCGGAAATAGATCTACATTTACATAGCTCATTTCAAGAATGGTTCTAGAATAACTGGATATCTTCATAGGAAGAAAAAACTAAACCTTGAGGGCTTCCCTTTTGAATCAGCATTAGAGAGTCCTCCTGACAATGTAGGAGCCACCGGTTCAACTCCTGCTCCCGGAAGAGCCCACATGCCACACGGCAGCTAAGTCCCTGCGCCACAACTACTGAGACTGTGCTCTGGAGCCCAGGAGCCACAACTTCTTAGCCGATATACTGCAGCTACCGAAGTATGCATTCCCTAGAGCCCGTGCCCTGCAACGAGAAGCCCATGCACTGCAGCTGGAGAGTAGCCCCCGCTCTCTGCAAATAGAGAAAAACCCATGCAGCAACAAAGACCCAGCATAGAAAGGAAGATGGAAAACTGTCTTTATTAGCAGTTAACAGGATTTTTTCTGTATAAATTTTATTTTTTCTGTTGAAAATGAGTAATTTTTTTAAAAAGTGAATCATTTAAAAAAAAAAGGAACCTTGAGCCATATCTCATATCTTACATAAATGCTAATTCAATTTGGATGATATACATCAATATAAAACCTTAAACTACAGCGTTTAGTAGAAAATAGGAGAATATTTTAGCAGCCTTCGAGTAAGCAAAAGATTTTTTTTAAAGGACATGAAAGGAAAAACAATCTTTTAAAAATGGTAAATTGTTCTTCAAAATTAGAATTTGGGGATCTCCCTGATCGTCCAGCAGGAAAGACGGCCTGCTTCCAGTGCAGGGAGCACTGGTTTGAGCCCTGGGTAGGGAACATGTTGTGCCAAAAAACACAGAAAATTAATTAAAAATTTGGCTTATCAAAAAATTCTGTTGTAAGTGGAAGGAATGTAGGAGTATAGTCAGTTGGGGAAGATAAGTTCAGGAGATGAATGGTGGTAATGGTTGCACAACAGCATGAAAGTACTCAAAGCCACTGAACTATATACACCAATAAATTGTTAAAAAGGTGAATTTTACGTTACATTTTACCACACACACAAAAACACACCCCATTAAGATGGTGAAGAGGCAAGCCACAGACTGGGAGCAAACATTTCCAACCAAAATATATAAAGAACTCCTACAACTGATCAACAAAGAGACAAAAATATTTATTTTATTTAAATATCATTTTTCTTTGGATTATTGTTTAAGCTGACCAGCTGCTTTTCAACTATTTTGTTGTCTTCATGCATTCTGTTGACAGGACAGTCTCAGTATTTGCAGGAATTTGGGATTATCCCTTCACTTGGTTTATGTAAATGTTAAATAAAATTAGTTTTAGTACTAATATCTAAAACATCTTTACCACTTGCCTCTTTATCCACACTGTGTTTCCTATCTTCAAGCCACCAGCCGCTTACCTTCTTTTTTGTTTTCTTAACATTAACTTCTCCAGAATCGTAGATTTATGAACTACAGACAGTTATTCCTACTCTTAACAACATTCTCAAGACATTTTTCAGTCACATAGGACAAAGTCCACACTCTCACAAATGTAAATTTATATTTACAGAATATGTATTTTGCCTACTTTCATAAATACTATAAGCATGTTGCTTTTCAGTGAGCATTAACTTAGATTTTTTGTTTATTTTTTAATTCAGTAAACTTGTTTACTTAACTACATGTAGAAGCAGGCTTGGAGACATAAAGTATATTTTTCTTTTATGCCCATGCTAAGGAATCAGAATTAATTTGAAAAAAGAATGCTACTTATACCCTACAGAAATAATAAATGACATAGCCCATGTCCTTAGGAATTTATAATGTGATCAGAGAAAGTGTTGTTGCTCAGTTGTGTCCACCTCTTTTTGACCCCATAGGCTGCACCCCATGGACTCTGTCCATCTAATTGCCCAGGCAAGAATACTGGAGCGGGTAGACATTCCCTTCTCCAGGGGATCTTCCCAACCCAGGGATTGAACTTGGGTCTCTTGTGTTGCAAGCAGATTGTTTACCATCTGGGCCACGAGGAAAGCCCTGGTGATCAGAGAAAACCAACACAACACATTTCTTTTTTTTTTAAACTTTTTATTTCGTATTGGAGTATAGCCGATTAACAAACAGTGTTCTGAGAGTTTGAGGTGAACAGTGTAGGGACTCAGTAATGCGTATACCTGTAAGAGACATTTCTTTGATAAGATTTAAGTTCTCAGTTTTTGACAAGAGATCAGAAGTAGAGTGATGAACAAGAAATCTCTGGGGAGATTTCTAGAGGTGTTGAGGATTTGGAAAGGCAGTATGGAGAGCCGCTATAGTTCTGTGCAAAGGAAGACTCAGAACAAGAATGGCACAACAGTGAGGGACTTGTCCAGATCAAAGCAGAGGTTGCTACTGAGAATTAGAGTAAAATAACGCTTCTAAAATTTTCTGTGATCTTTATTTGCTCAACTGTTCCTTCTGTAGCTTTTTGACTTTATGTAGTTGCTATCAGGGGATACTAAATTCTTCAATTATACTAAATTCTTATTCTTTCTACAGATTTTGTAGCCCTTTTTATACTACATTTAACAAAAGATACTACAGTGCTCATTAAGCTACCTTAAGAAGGACAATTTTTTTGTTTGCTTTGTTCTTTTAAAAAGCAAGGGCTTTATCACCAAGCCCTTGCTAAACACATTTTGGTAAAATTCCGTAGAATTGTCATGGTAATTAAGGATTGCTGTTGGGGGGAGGGATAAATTAGGAGTGTGGGATTAACAGGCACAAACTACATAAAATAAGTAACAAGGGCATACTGTATAGCACAGGGCACTATATTTAATATCTTGTAATAACCTATAATGGAAAATTTGAAAGAAAGAAATATGTAATTGAATCACTTTGCTATATACCTGAAACTAACATAGTATTGCAAATCAAGTATACTTCAATTAAAAAGTTGCTATAAATGTTTCTAAAAGCTTATTCAGATTTTTTGTACTTTGGTCATTCATGGGTAGCAAATGGTCAGTGGACTATGCTTTGAATAGCTCCTCTTTAGAATATTAATATTTTGTGTCTTGATAAAAGTTACTATATACATTATTTTTTAAACAGATATGCATCTTCTATTGATGATATTTTGGAAGATGAAGAACATTATGCGGATCAGTTAAAGGAGTATCTTTTTTATGCAGAAGCATTGCGGTAAGTATAATACATGTTCCAGATGCAGTCCTATGGCTGGTCAACACTCTCTTCATCTGTTACTCTAAAATAAAGAGCATAAGGTGATTTTTAAATGAATTCCTTCCCCTAGATATTGAATGAGATCTCACTGTATTCCTATCTGTTGCAGAGTGCTAGACATAGGAAATTTTTTTTTTTTTTTCATTTATTTTTGTTAGTTGGAGGCTAATTACTTCACAACATTTCAGTGGGTTTTGTCATACATTGACATGAATCAGCCATGGAGTTACATGTATTCCCCATCCCGATCCCCCCTCCCACGGCCCTCTCCACCCAATTCCTCTGGGTCTTCCCAGTGCACCAGGCCCGAGCACTTGTCTCATGCATCCAACCTGGGCTGGTGACCTGTTTCACTATAGATAATACACATGCTGTTCTTTCGAAACATCCCACCCTCGCCTTCTCCCACAGAGTCCAAAAGTCTGTTCTGTACATCTATGTCTCTTTTTCTGTTTTGCATATAGGATTATCATTACCATCTTTCTAAATTCCATATATATGTGTTAGTATGCTGTAATGTTCTTCATCTTTCTGGCTTACTTCACTCTGTATAATGGGCTCCAGTTTCATCCATCTCATTGGAACTGATTCAAATGAATTCTTTTTAACGGCTGAGTAATATTCCATGGTGTATATGTAGGAATTTAAGACAACCCTGATCCCTGGTGGTCAGATGATAAAGTGTCTGCCTGCAATGCAGGAGACCTTAGTTCGATCTCTGGGTTGGAAAGATACCCTGGAGAAGGAAATGGCAACCTACCAGTATTCTTCCCTGGAGAATCCCATGGACAGAGGAGCCTGGAGGGCTACAGTCCATGGGGTCACAAAGAGTTGGACATGACTAAGCGACTTAACACTGTCACTATATTTGAAACATTATATTGATAAAACCTGTTAGTCTCTGACTTCAGGGCTGTCTGTATGTTGTTCTTTCTGCTTTTTCCAGCTTGGAGATTGGAAGCAAAGTACACATTGAGTGTGTGTTATCATGATCTGTCATTAGATTGTATATTACCTTTAAATTCTGTGACGTTTCCATACCTGCATATTTTATCTCCTTAGTAAGATTGTAAAATTTCTTAACGTCAGGACTTTGTCTTCTGTGTTTGTGGTATCTCCTACAGGGCCAAACAGAATTCTCTGGGAGATATTCCAGTTTAGAAAAGTGAATCATTTTCCTGCCACTTTTAAAATCATTGTAAGAATTCTGTTAATAAAACAGAAGAACAATATTCCTTTGGCTGTTCAGTAGCTGGGATGAAAACATCACATTGTTAGCCTTTTTCCTTCTAGAGCTTTGAGTAGTAGAGGTCACACCAGGCTTTTACCAAAGGAAGGTTGCTCAACACAATGGAATTCTTTGCAACTCTTAAAGATTATAGAAAAGATGAATGTATATTGATAAAGAAATGTGTCCTTGGTATATAGTTCAGAAATGCCTAGTTAAAGTCTAGAACAATATATACCACCTATTAATATGAATTGTGTCTGGATAGTAGAACTAGGGAGAAGAAAGTGTTCTTGAAACTTATTTAGTACATTCCTGTATTAGAATCTTTTTTTTTTTTTTTTAGTGAGCATGGATTACTTTTATGATAATGAAAACTAATAGACATTTCTCAATAGAAAACTTTGAGATAATCTTTTTAAACAATATTCAGTTGTTATGTGAGATGATAGCATTAGTTCCAGTGCTGTACAAAAAAAGCTTTTTTAAAAAATGTATGTGATAAAAATTTAATTTAGCAGAATCTAAGCATAAAAACTTTATAAATCAAAAAAGGTTGTTTTCCATCTGGGCTACTACATTTTAATGTTGGGCTACTACATTTTAAGCTTAAAAATTCTATATATAAAACTTCTGATCATAGTACGTGAATGCCTCCACTTTACTCCCTGGGGAAAAATTTAACATGTTAATAATTAGAGAGGCCACAAAAATTAAATGGCAAAAATTAAATTTTTTTCCTAGGGCTGTGTGCAGGAAACATGAACTTATGCAGTATGACTTAGAGATGGCTGCTCAGGACCTAGCATCCAAGAAGCAGCAGTGTGAGGAACTGGCAACTGGGGGTGAGCTATTTTCCATTTGGGTCTGTGGTATTATTATAACGAACCTTAAGTGAAATGGGCTGCAGGATGCCTGTAGCTTTTAAAGGGGAGTAATTTGTGGACAACTTTATAATTCTTTTGGTTGTGATCTTAACATAAAAAGATATAAGCCATTAGGGACTTCCCTGATGGTCCAGTGGTTAAGACTACGTGCTTTCATTGCAGGGAGCACGAGTTCAATCCATGGTCAGGGAACTAAGGTCCCACATGCTGCGTTGTGGTGGCCAAAAAGTAAAATTAAATTTAAAAAATTAAGTCTTAAAAAAAAGCAACCATTAAAACATATATAGCGTTACAAGAAATTTTGCCAGATTGCACTGTGTAATAAGGACCATCTCTTTTCTGATTAAGTCTAAGTGGAAAAAACCATTATTCTTTGGGATTGAAATAATGACCTTTGCATGGTTTAATTTTATCACTTACATTGTAGAAATTTTAGTTAACTTTGAAAAACTTTGCCCTGTTAGAATCAGTGCCTCTCTCCTAACAGAGAACTTTTTGTGTACTTTATTCTTGAATCCTTACAGTGAGTACTTGTGAAGAAAATTTTGTATCTGACTATATTAGACTTAGATAATTTTTATAATCAGCTTTCTATTGTCCAGCTATTTCATTGGAATAAATAAGCTGTCATGGTGAGAGCACACAATCTGGAAGTAATGAAGCAGTGACAGTGCCACTGTTTATAAGTCATTTCATAGTTAACAAGTCCTTGACTTCCCTGCTGGCTCAAACGGTAAAGCATCTCCCTACAGTGTGGGAGACCCGGGTTCAAACCCTGGGGTGGGAAGATCTCCTGGAGAAGGAAATGGTAACCCACTCCAGTATTCTTGCCTGGAAAATCCCATGGATGGAGAAGCCTGGTAGGCTACAGTCCATGGGGTCGCCAAGAGTCAGATACGACTGAGCAACTTCACTTTACTTTTACAAGTGCTTGTGGGCTACCCACATGAAGATACATGGGGAAGGACCTTTGACCATGAAGCAGATACACACTGGCTTGATTTATTTTTAAAATCCAGGGGAAATTTCCAGTCCATTTTCAGGGAGCTTGGCTCTCTACTCCTGCATTTGCAGGGAAAAGCGTTTCCTTCAGTAAATTCCAGAGAGTGAAGAGATGGTGACGTTTGAGGCTTGGGTTTAGTCATTCTGTTTTATTAATAGATAACCAAGTTTTAGTGTGAATTATGCAGATTTTAAATGGTTTTTTCAGTTTGGTTTATTGTCGTTGTTGCCTGTTGAATTTTATCCATTTTTTATGATCACAGAATAATTGAAAAAATATGACTGCTGACATAAATAACTTGCCTAGTATTTCACCTGGAAGTTTTCTATATGATGAAGAAGCTCAGTTAAAATTTTTCCTTTTTTGATTCTTCAACATTTTCTAGTATTATAAGCCTTAATAGTAGCCCCTTGGTTGTATGGTTTGTGGTGTTCTGTCTGAGGTAGGGGGAAAATGACTATGTCCTCTTTAAAAAAAATTTGTGGTAAAATATACAGAACATAGCATTTATTATTTTAACCATTTTTCAAGTTCAGTAGTAGTAAGTTCATTTACATTGTTGTACAGCAAACCTGCAGAACTCTTCATCTCGCAAAATTGAAACTCTGTACTTATTAAATATCAACTATTAATTTCCCTCGTCACCTTGCCCTTGGCAGTCACCATTCCACTTTCTGTCTCTGTAAGTTATACTACTATGGATACTTCATGTAAGTAGACTTGTACTGTATTTGTCTTTTTGTGACTGGCTTATTTTACTTAGCACAGTGTCCTCAAGGTTCATCCATATTGTAGCGTGTGTCAGAATTTTCTTCCTTTTTAAGACTGAAAAATATTTCAGTGTATGGATGTTATTTATCCATTCATCTGTTTCTGTTTCATTTTAGACTGTGAGAACATTTTCTTTGAAGGGAGTGACTACCCAGCTCTTCGGTCAAGAAACTCCAGAGCAGAGAGAAGCCAGAATAAAGATGCTAGAAGAACAAATAAAGGAAGGAGAACAACAACTTAAGTCTAAAAATCTGGAAGGCAGGTAAAAATGCTGGGATGTTTAACATGGCTAGACTTTAGGCTCTGTGGCAGGTGGCTTATAACGATTCCTAGCTTCATCAGTCCCTGGATGTAGCCTCAATCTTCTAAAATACAGTGATTGACTATTCCTGAGAAATTTGAGTAATCAAAAATCATGTTACACAGAAACAGTTGTGTTAGTGTTGGGGAAAGGGGAAGAAGGAAGTGTTTAAACTTCATAATATTATTTTCTTGCACTTTACATGATTTCTATCCTTTGCATATTTCCTCTACTCTATTCTGTCAGTTAAAAGCCTCATCATTCTGCAATGCCCAGCTCTTGAACTGCTTCCTTTGTTAAGCCTTCTCTTATCCTCACAGGCTGTCACAGCACTTGGTTAATGCCCTTATCCCACGGCACTTTGTACAGTGTGACTGTCTCTGGCTAAATTACAAGCCCTTCAAAGACACAGTGATTGTGTCTTCTTCATCTTTATGTCCCAGCACCTTGCATATGACTTAGAATATAATTATTCCATAAATATTTTCAGAAATTCACTTCTCAGAGATCTGCCATGGACTTTTGGGCGCATTTTTCATGTTGTTTTTGTCAGTTTTGACAGTTGTTGAGTAGATCAAGGCAGACTAAGAGTTTCACTGATTTGGAGGTGGTTTTGTTAATTTTTGAAACTGCTGGTGTCAAGTAAGTCAAAGTTAACTCATGAACAGAGTTAAAAAGACAAATGGATCACATGTTTAAAAAAAAAGACAAATGGCTCTCAGAACTTTTAAAACTCTAGTTGTCATTTAAAGAAAATACATGATAAATGTGATACATAATCCATCTTGTTGAAAAGACTGTATGTTTTGCAGTGACTCCAGGCAGGTAAGTTCATGCGGCATCTGTTGGCTTGTAAGTTGGTTCAAGGAGCCATTTACATCTGTTTTACAGGAATAATTTGAAGCTGGAATTCATGGTAAAAGAGACTATTAAAATGTAGAAGAGTGTATGACTGTCTGCTTTTTCTCTCACTTTATAGACAAAAACCCAACTCAGATGAGAAGTGTTTATTTGAATTAATAATATGTAGTTTATTTAATTTAAATAAGAATAATAATGATGACTATACCCTTTATTTCAGAGAGTTTGTCAAAAATGCTTGGGCTGATATTGAACGCTTCAAAGAACAAAAGAACCATGATTTAAAGGAGGCCCTCATCAGCTACGCAGTCATGCAGATCAGTATGTGCAAAAAGGTAGGTTTTGGTTTCATTGAAGGTACGAGTATATTCAGAAGTGCTGCCAAATTTCTTTAAAATCAGTTTCTTATTTGGAACAAAGTGTATATCATTTTTATTTTTAAAGTCCATTCTTCTCTTCCAGAATGTTTCCCAGTTTCTCTACTTAATTTTGAAAGAAGTGTCATAATTAAAATCTTAATTACCAAGTCTCCACTCATCTAAAGTTCCAAATTTGTATGCCCTGTTTTTACTTGTATTTGAAAATATGTACTAAAAACATTACTATGGTTATGTGATATTCTTGAACAGGGCAGTAAAATACCATTCCTAACAGCGATACATACTTTCATTGAAAAATGGTCTAAACGTTAGGGTTTAGATAGAGTAGTATCTAATGGAGTATTCAGTGTTAGAAAAGGCAAGATAGATCTCACATGCACTGTCCTAATAAGATGGATCTCACATGCACTGTCCTAATAAGATGGATCTCACATGTACTGTCCTAATGAGATGTCCTAATAGAACGGCAGATGAGAAAACAGGCTACACACTAGTGCATATAATGCAATCCTGTTTTTGTGGGAAAGAGGAAAGTGTGTATTTTTTAAATGATTGTATGTATACAAATGAGTTTGAAAAGATACACATGAAAGCGTGTATTAATACACATGTCACTGATACCTCTCGTATAAGGTATGAACACTGAAGCTTATTCTGGTTAAAATAAGTGTTTTGGCAGTGATGGAAATTTTTTAAAATGATGTTGTAAGAACAAAATGTATAATATTCCTTAACCTCATTTTCAGAACCCCAGAGCTGCCTGTGTGATCACCAGTCAGTACTGGTGCTTTACATTTCTCTAGTGCTTCTTAATTTATTGAGTGATTCAGCATGCTTTATCTCAGTAAATCATTTAGTAAGTCAGTCTGGGACATTAAAGGATTCTTGTGTGGTTTTGTTTTGTTTTTCTTTTTGTGTTTCATCAGGGAGGAAAAAAAGCTAAAAAGATTAATTTTTTTCCTATTTTTCAAAGCCTCAATAAATATTGATTAACTTTAATGTGTAAGTATTAAAATTTCTTGATAAATTAGCAGTTATTGAAGAATATATATATATATAAACAGGATATATATATATCTTGTTTGTTGAAAACATACCTTCCACCACTGTCTAGATTTTACTATTACATTTTTTACAAACATGCATTTTTGTTTAAGCCTATTAGGTATATAATAGCATGTTAGTTTTTGCTAAATAGCCTGCTGTAACCACTGAGAGGGAGTTCATAACTTTTTATCAAAATATTGGTTATTAGGTTAATAAATTAATAATATTTAATTGTTAGACTAATCAGGTTTTTTTGTTTTAGATATTGCAAAACTTGTTTGTTTTATAAGTAGAAATGATATGAATATATGATATGAGTAAATGAGTCTTTCAAAAAGAAGTAGGAGTTCTGTATCTGTTTTGAAAACAGGCTCATACAATGATTCTATTACTTTTTTCACAAGTATTTCACTTTGACTTATATTTGCCATTGCCAGAAAAAGTGTTCTGTTTGTTGTACTTATTAATTATTCCAAAAGTTGAAACCTAACATACCAGTAAGCCAAGTACTTGGCCTTTCAAAATCCTTCCAAAATTACATTTTAAGGTTTTGGGGCCTTTTTTTTTTTTTGGTTTGTTTTAAAAGGGAATTCAAGTTTGGACCAATGCTAAGGAATGCTTTAGCAAGATGTAATCCTGTGAAATGAATTTCTCTTCAATCAAAGTACCCCAAAACAGAAGCACAAGTAAATAAAAAGATTTGTTACCCTGCATACACAAAAATATATAGTAAGTTGAGTAAGTTCAACTTTCATTAATTTGATTATATTAATATAGCACAAAAGGATGTATTTTAATGAAGATTAAATATTATAATTTGAGGTTTTGGGGACTGGTGCTGATTGTAAAATGTTAATTAGATAAAATATACCAACAGATTGTTGCTTCTGAACCAGTGTCTGAATGTCAAGATGTTAGGTCATTTCTAGAAGTTCGTTTCAAGTGCCCACTGTTTCATATCTGCTTATGTAGGGAGTCTTTCCCTAAGACTGAATTCTTATCTTTATTTGGTAAGGCCCACTAATCTCTCACAGAGGGTTAATTTTTCTTGCCTTACAGTTGAGCTGTTTGGTTTGACAAAGCTCAGCTGAAATTTAGTGTGAAATCTAAGAATTTCTCCTACATTCATTAATGCCCCCAAACATTACATACACTAGACAATGCCTTCAGTGTGTGTTTTACCAGAATTTTGATATGGTCAAAATTTTATACTGCCAACAAAGAAGACTCAGCTTCTCAGTGGAATACATTGTTATAATCTAGGAATTGCTATATAGAAAGTTTTGAGTATGTTACATATACAAGCATTAAATTCTTAAATAATTCTTAACCTCAGTGATGAGCCTAAATTTACTCTGCTTGGCTCTCTACACATGGCATTTCAGGGTACAAGATGTAGCATTTCAATGTATAAGATATATGTAGTGAACATATGTATTATTATCTTCATTATTATCATCCTTTTTTATTGCTTGGCTATAATTTTTATAAATATAAATTATATTGCTTTTGTGTATGTGTTTTTGTGATATATGTTCAGAAGCCAAGCACCCTTGGAATTTGCTAGCTTTGCAGAACTCTACATGTATACTCATTATTACTAATTATGTAAAAAAAAATTTTTCAGTACTGTTCAACATTTGACTTTTTTACATGTTTGAAATGTTGCTGAATTTTTGTGCTGTTTGCCAGACTTATACAGTAAATAAATGAAATACTGTGTTGATTTTCATATGATTTTTGTTATTTAACAAAGTGGTCTATATCTGTTAGTATCTGATGCCCTGTGGAAAAATAATATATGCCATATTATGTTTTGAAGAGTTTAATTGTATAAATTTGTCTTATGCCAAAATGTTGGATTTCTTAAAAATAAGATGCTGAAATGATATATGATTTTTAAATGTTTACCTTTTTTTAAAAAAAGGTCAAATTGTCAGGAGCAAAAGTCATCTTGATAGGTACAGTTTTCGTCCCACTGAAGTGTATCCTCTCTTGGCTCACAAAATAAAATAGCTTTCCATTTGGCCTTTAAAATCAAAAGCCTTTTCTTCCAACCTAACCTTATGCTAAATAGAAAATTTATCAGAGGACTTCCCTGGTGGTACAGTGGATAAGAATCTGCCTGCCAATGCAGGGGACACAGATTTGATCCTTGGTCCGGGAAGATTCCACATAGCTTGGGCAACTAAGTCCATGAGCCACAACTACTGAGCCCCCACGCTCTGGACCTGTGAGCCACCACTCATGAGCTCCTGTGTGCAGCCGCTAAAGCCCATGCACTAGAGCCTTGCTCCACAACAAGAGAAGCCACTGCGATGAGAAGCCTGCTCACTGCAACAGGAGAAAGTCCAAGCAACACTGAGACCCAGCACAACCAAAAAAAAGCATTGGGTTTTTTCCCTACTACCTGACCTAATTAGAGAAGGTCACTAATACCTATGTTTTGAGATAAATTAGCAAAAATATTTTATTATCTCTGAAATATACAGAAATTCATTTGGTTGTATGTATATTTAAGAAGGAATATCTTCACGGATTGAGTTTGAAAAAGTTTCACTTGATAGTACAATAATTCCTTTAAAGAGAACTCTTAAAGGAATTTTATGGTGAAAATCATTTTTGGTACTATTGTGTGTGCGTGTGTGCTCACTCAGTCATGTCTAACTCTTTATGACCCCATGGACTATAGCCCACCAGGCTCTGTCTGTGGGATTTCCCAGGCAAGAATACTGGAGTGGGTTGCCATTTCCTTCTCCAGGGGGTCTTCCTGACCCAGGGATTGAACCCACATCTCCTGCACTGGCAGGCAGATTTCTTGACCACTGCGCCACCTGTATGCATTTACCCTTTTCAGTATTTAAAAACTAGAACTCAAAAATGAATTATTTAAAAGGGAGATAGATCTCCAAAGATGAATATAAAAAGCTTAATATATATATATATATATATATATATATATGTAAAGCTTGTATGAGCAATAACTAAAGACGACTTATTACATAAATGTAGATAACTTCATAACAGGAAAATTTAATCTTTACAGTGTACCAGTGATGCAGTTAGTGTAGTCAAAGCATTAAAATTAACTGAAGTCATACCTCACCTTCATTTATATCCAAAAACTTGGTGAATGAGTCATTGGTAATTACAACATAGCATCCAAAACAGGAACTGAGAGTTCTTAAAATTCAAGCATCTTTAGAATAAACACATATCCAGCTTGGAATGGAATGAAAAACCAGGGGTTATGTAACAGGAATGCTAACTAGGCTTTGTATATTCTTATAATCATTTTTTATGTTTACGTGCATACTCTCTCCATGGTAGAATTTACTGATTATCCTGAAAATATTTACCTATAAAAATTTTAGAAATTTTTTTCAAGATTTAATAATCCAGAGAAATAAGCTAACAAAAGGCCAAATCAGTAAAATTGTACTTGCTTCCTTACTTTTATAGCTTTAAATATTTATATATTTAAAAGAGCAGACTAGAGGGGGAAAAAATGAGCAATAAAATTCAAAGTAAGTAGAAGAAAGAAATATTAAAAGCAAGAGCAAAAATCAGTGATATTGAAAACAGGGTAATACAGTTAACAAAGCCAAAAGTTGGTCTTTGAGAATATTAATAAAATTAAACCTCTAGCAAAGTGATGGAAAAACCTAAAAGACAGATTATCCCTATCAGGAATGAAATCAAGAATGTTATTTAGATCTTTCAGATGTTAAAAGGACAATAAGGACTATTATGTACAAATTTAAACCAATAAATTAAAGTCACCAAATTTCTTGAAAAATACAGCTTACTAGAACTGATACAAGACAGAAAATGTGAATAGTTTTAATATTAAAGAAATTATCAGGAATTTTCATACAAAAGAACTCCAGGTCCACTTTGCTTTATTGGTGAATTCTAGCAAACATTTAAGGAGTAAAAAGCTTTAATTCTACAGAGATTTTCAGAAAATAGGGGCAAATGGAATACTTACCCTATTTTTTTAAAAAAATGAAAACAAGTATTACCCCAATAGCGAAACGAGCCAAAGACATTTCAAGGAAAGAAAGTGGCCATACCAATATACATCATGAACATAGATACAGAAATTATTGAACTATTAGCTAGTTGAATCCAGCAGTATATAAAGAACATAATACCTTATGACCAAGTCGAGTTTATCTCAGAATGCAGGGTCGTTTTAAAATTAGAAGAGTCAGTTACTATAATCTACCTTAATAAAATAAAGGAAATCCTTCATGATCACTTCAATACATGCAGACAGACATTTGACAGGATTCAACTCTGATTCATGACTTAAAACTCTGAGGAAACTAGGAATAGAAGAAAACTTAATTTGATAAAGTGCATCTGTGGAAAACCTACAGCGAACATCATGTTCTGTTGGGAAAATTAAGTTACTAGACAACTCTCCACTAGACAATATATGTCCCCATTTCCCCCTTTCCTCCCACCAGTGCTGAAATTCTTCTGGCTTTCTCCTTCAACTGTCTCCTTCCCGGATTGTTCCCTGTGCTCACTTTCCTCAGAATATTGTTGAACCTTGAAGAAGATGGCTGCCTCATTCTTAAAGCTTCTAACAGGAGATTCATTCACGTATGTTTACCAGGTGGACACTCCAAGTCCAAAAAGCCTGGGGACTCTGTTGATTCAGGAAGTTTTATGAAATCATCCCCAGATGAAGGTGGAACTAGTTGATTCAGTAGCAGAAGTCCAAATGAATAAACCATCTTGTGATGGAAGCACCATCAGCAGAAGACGAGGAGAAATTCCTAAATACTCAGCTGTTAAGGCCTTGATTTCAGAGGATAATAGCTAACATGCATGACAATACTATTCCTATTACACCTAAAACTGAGGCACAGTGTCGCAGTGTGCTGGCCCAAGGTCCCATCTATAGTAATGAGTAGAGTCAGAGTTTAAATGAACCCAACTAGCATGGCTCTAGAGCCTGTACTTTTTGAGGCTTTTCCCTTTTTGAGGAGCAGAGACTTGGAGGAGACCCTCTGGGACAGACCCATGAGGATGGCAGAGGGATAGGAAAGGTAACTTTCATCATACTCAGATTCTAAGGTATCTGAAAGGAAAATGTCATGGGTACTTCTGAAAGTGGGAGCAGGGAGTGGAGACATGAGAGAGAAGCAGGCTCTGGTGAAATACTAGACTAGTTCTCCAACTTTAATGTGTTTGTGAATTGCTTGGGGATCTAGTTAAAACACAGATTCTGATTGAATAGTTTATAGAGTGGAGCCTGAGAGTCCACTTTTCTTAACAAGCTCCCAGATACTGGCAGTGGTACTGGTCACCCTTTCAGTAGTGAGGTGTTAAATACATACATTTATATTATATTGGACATCACTAGCTATTACTAGGCCAGTGACCTGGCCAAACAGATCTATTTTGATTCAGTTGTTTAGAAAATATACAAAAATTTAGCAGTTATACAAAAAAAAAGAAAATTAGATAATAGCAACTTCTTAGTACTATGTCAAGTTTGGAAGTTGATATCAAAAGCAAGTTCTAGTGAAGCTTTAATGGTAAAGATGAGTATATGGATAATAATTACATAAAAACACTGAAATTTTATAATGTGATAAAAATAGCATTTATGAGGCA